AAACTAGGACGGAACAACTGTCCGGTACTATCAGATTTTCCAATGGTTCTCTAACCGATATCAGCTCATTATGAAATCTCCCGTAACCGATTTCCCTTAAATCTTCAATTCGATTGATTCAAATATAGCGGCACACTCATTTGAGGAGTATTAAACTTGACTACTTACATTATTAGGGGACAAAAAGAATCGAAAATTGCAATCACTTACAAGTGGAAACCTTTTTTCAATAATGTTGAGTATGCTCAGAACTGATAACATAAGCAAATAAACACTATTATCAGACTCAAATAGAATTACAGTATAAAATATATCCATTATACACATCATCGACAGTGTAAACAAGCGAATAAAGCAACACAGTGATCCTGAATTCGACATGTTTTGCATTTTTGTCACCTTATTGTAATGTAGGTTTTAAATCGTGCTGAAAAAAACCTTATTTCACCTACAGTTAATTCGAAAAAAGACCATCACAATGAAGCTGTATACTTGTTAACTGATTGATTTCTTCTCAGCGTACCTGAAACAGAAGGAGAACCATTAACGTTGGATGACTAAATAGTCTGTGGAACGACTGCTTCAAGCCGGGCGCACACAGCCTGTTTCAAGCAGCTTTTGAAGTTCTGTCCACATTAAGACTTCACCAACATCTATGGGCTGCCTCAAGGTAAGTTGAGATGTACGGTTTTCAGGGCCAATGTTTTATTAACCCCGACTCCTCCTCTCCAAAACGGTGAGGCAGCAGCATAACTGGCATGCTGATCATTTGAGGGAAACACCTTATTGTTGTTACACTCCTGCTAACTCATAGATCCCCAACATAAATGGTGACTGCTTTTAATCTAAACCGCTATCCAAATAACCTTTCTAGCGCGGCATGACCCACAGGAACATTACTTCCAACCAGTGTAGCCCATTGAGATATGCTGCTGCTGCTGGATTCAACATAGAACTTGGCACTGAAGTGCACCAGTTCGAGTTGCCACGTTCCAAATAGCAAACAAAGGCAGAGAGGAAAATGAGAGAAGAGAATCAATAGAATTTAGATAATTATAATGGTGAAACAGAATGAGTAATGGTAGAAAGGAATATGAAGGTTAAAGAGACTGAATACATCTGCGCCATTGACAATGATTTTGAGCCATGTCACCTATTGTCTCTAGCCATTGATTCTTAGAGTCCCGAGGGCCCCATCCCGGAAGTCTGCATCTCCCTACCTGACTCAGTTTAACTGTCAGGGATTTCATGGATTGATGAGGCCATGTTTTTGTTTGGCCACCACTTACTCTTTTCCAACCTGCACCTATATCAGCTAGTAATGACCGTCCGTCGGGGGAGACGATGGTTAGGCATGTGCAGCACGTGACCTAGCCATCTCAATCTATGTAACTTCATAGCCTCTTCGAGTGATTTTCCCTCCCATTGAGATACGCAAGTCCGACCACTACATCGATCGGGTTTGTGTACCTGTTAGAGATAAATAATTCACAACTGTGAACTACTACATACTTCCGCAACGAACAGAGATACTATGAAATCTTACCAAGTAATTTCACACATCACATACTTAATTTTATTAGGCTGAAAATCATTTTCCCTTCCACTCTCAAATACTAATAATGATTTGGTGAAAATAGAATTAGGACATTTTAATAATAAGACTAAACGATGATTTCGCCATACTTTCTACCAACTTTATAGATTTTTTTGAGGTCATTTTGAATTTCCCCTTGATTCAATCCTTTTGGACAGAAATGCTCGATCTCAGTCCAGTCCATGGGGAACTGATGTCAGCTCATGATGAAGTTCTCCAACCAATCAAACCAAAATCCCCACAAAACCAATACTTGAAATTTAATCTGATGCTCGCTAGCAACTGGCCCTATTCAGGCAGTTAACCTGGGGTTCTAGTAGGAAGCCGTGTTCAGTAGGGTAAAGGAGGTTGAAGGTGAGGCAGTAACTCATCGAAGAAGATATTGCGATATGGTCACGCCATGTCGTGAATTGGCAGAAGTTAGAATTCAAGGACCACTGGATCGGGTCCCAGTGGTCTACGAGCTCGCTAGCCTTGTAACCAGAGGGTCCTGGGTTCGAACCCCGGTGGATGCGTACTGCGAAGAGTCCCAAACTAGGACGAAAGAGCTGTCCAGTACCTCCAGGCTTTCTAACTGATGTCAGCTCACAATGAAATCCTCCATGCAATTCACGAAATAATTTCAACAAATGATATTTGATATCTGCTGTACAAAAGGTGGTTCTGTCGTAGTCCATCGGATAAAAATAGCATTTGGCATTTGAAACGACTGGTGCTCTGGATTCTAATTTCAGTAGAAACACTAAACCATACTACCACTAATTACTGAAAAGGGGATGAAGGTATGTGTCGATAGCTACTGATAAGATTTATCAGTAGTATATAAAGAGATGCTCATCGGTATAAAAACACTAAATAGCAAGGAGACAGATTCGATTTCAGAGAAAGCGAATGATTCAGCGTTGCAGAGAAACATGGGAGACGTGAAAGAAACACAATATCAAGGAAGGCCAGAAGTAGCGCAACACGGACGATCTGTGTAAATGACGATTTTCAGATAAGGTGTACATAATTTCGCTACATATCGATTAGAAATTCCAAATAAACATTCCTTTACCAAATCTCTCGTCTTCTATCGTTACAGGTACATCCATCTAGCAGACAACCAGTAATCCCAGGATAGGAAAAAATGAGCCTCCTGAATTTTATCACTACTACTATGATGAGAGCTGCCTGCAAGCCAAAATTGTAAACACCAATTTATGTCAACGTATACGTCCCGAATCAGGGTCATGAGGAAGAACAATAACCAAACTTGACCTTGAGGAACTCACCAACCAATCACAGCAAACTTGACGTGTGCAAATACGATTCGCAGATATATGCCTTGACCTTCTAAGAAACGGTAACAAAGAGATGACAGAATAACCTTCAGCAAGAAAACAACCAATCAGAAGAGGTTGCTTCTCTGCTAACAATAATGTACATAAAAATCTATAAATATCTCATACAACCGGTTCCCTTTATTAGTTTGAAGAGAGAAAGAACGAACATGTTTGCAGGATAATACGAGCTCGTTTTATTTCGTGGATACTCATCAACTGCATACATCCTAAACAAAATCAAATTATAGGTTTCAAAAAAGTTTTGAAACATACTTTTTCATAATTACTTGGAGTTATAGATAGAAGGTATAAGGAACATAATTACAGAATTTGATGTAGGTAGACAGATTATTCGGTGTCAAAAAACAACTAATTATATATAGTGGAATTAGATAAGAGGGGTTAGAGTTCAGATTTCTATTGGAAAACACAGATTGGTTAGAGGCATATTACAAGGTCAGGGTCAGAGAACAGAGTGAACTTATACATCTTGTGGTGGAGAGTTTAAGAGGGTGGGGGTTGAATAGTGAAGTAACATTTTTTAACTTAAACAGACAATTAAGTAGACAGCTTTTGCCCAACTAGTTACAAACGAGGTCTAGTAAAAACTCTCTTCAGCAGAGCCAAAGAAATATGTTCGGAAGACAAGACTGAAGAACTCACGGTCACCGAAAAGAACCTTATCGAGAATGGATATCCCCGAAAGTTCATATCAAAGTATAGAAATGAAGAAGCACACAAACCGAAACCTGACACCGTTGAAAAGAAACCAGTTTTCATCTGCCTAGCGTACAAAGGGGAAGACGTATCCACAAGAACACAAAAAATAATAACAGGTGCATTAAAAAGAACGTTTCCAGCCGCCAGACTGATCCTATTTCACAACACTGTGTGCTCGTAAACCCAGTCAAAAGTAGATGAGTACCCTACTCACGTCAACTCCAACTGCATTTACCAATTCACTTGCACTTGCGGAAGCAAGTACATAGGAAGGACTGAGAAGAGAGCATCTACTAGATTTTCTGAGCACATTCCTAAGAGTCTCTGTACAAAAGTGTTATCGAGTGCAATCGCCAGACACTTAATTGACACAGGACACAGTCGAAATTAGCCAAGCCTTCAAAATAATAAATACGCAAAGAAACCCATGGCTACTTCGTTTCGCAGAAGCCATTGCTATCAAGATACTTCAACCAGACCTCTGTATACAAAAAGATAGTGTGACTAATCTTTCACTACCCTGGTAACACTAATTCTATTTTATTTTTGTTTTGCCTTTTTGTCAGTATGCCTGTGTGTTTGTCTTCAATTCTGACTTTCAAGTTTCTAAATCTACTTAATTGTCTGTTTAAGTTAAAAAATGTTACTTCACTATTCACCCCCACCCTCTTAAACTCTCCACCACAAGATGTGTAAATTCACTTTGTTCTCTGACCCTGACCTTATAATATGCCTCTAACCAATCTGTGTTTTCCAATAGAAATCTGAACTCTAACCCCTCTTATCTAATTCCACTGTATATAATTAGTTGTTTTTTGACACCGAATAATCTGTCTACCTACATCAAATTCTGTAATTATGTTCCTTATATCTTCTATCTACAACTCCAAGCAATTAAGAAAAAGTATGTTCCAAAACTTTTTTGAAACTTATAATTTGATTTTTTTTAGGATGTATGCAGTTGATGAGTATCCACGAAATAAAACGATCTCGTATTATCCTGCAAACATGTTCGTTCTTTCTCTCTTCAAACTATAAAATATCTCTTGATTTCCTCAATAAACGATCTGTTGCCTGACCCTTGTCTTTTGTCGTTCCACTACTACTACTACTAGCTACCACCAAATCAAGTAATTTAACCGACTAAATATAAATAATAGAGGAATACTGTTTTTTTGGCGATGACTTAAAAGTTAGTCGTAGATTTGACAGTCAGTCAAACAGCCTTCATAAAAAGTGAGTTGGCGAAAAAATTCATAAGCGATACTTCTCTCTCTTGCACCCCCGACCGACCGACCCACCTCGAATTTAAGTAAAGTTCAGTCTCATTCTTTTGTAAACAAAAATAAGTCTGATGGTTTAAGGTATATGAATTATAATAGATATAATCAAAGATATACATATTATGAAAATAAATGCACACAAAATCAGTACAGATTGTATATGTACACGTATGCATGGATGTATATATTAATCAGACAGTCAGTGGGGTTATAAAAAGTAGTATGTATATAGAGGTAAAAGTAATGAATATATATATCCAAATGAATGAGGAATGATATAAAATAATATTAAAAAAATAACAATACTAATTAGTGATTAGCTTTTGTCGAAGTCGTAGTATCCTTTTCTATGCTTAATTCAAATGATTCATACTTTTGAAGTTCTGCGTTGAATTCGTCTAACCATGAATTATATGCTTTCTAAAGTAGACAATGAAAAGGGAAAAGGCAACTGTAATAATATACTTAGAATATTTTTATTGGATGGGTGATTTCATCATGAGCTGACATCAGTTAGAAAACCACTGGAAAACCTGGTAGTACTGGACAGCTGTTTCGTCAGCCTAGTTTGGGACTCTTCACCAGTATGCACCTACCTCCAGGGTTCAAACCCAGAACCTTCTGGTTACAAGGCTAACGAGCTCGTAGACCGTTGAGCCACTGGGACCCGGTCCGATGGCCAGTCCATGAATTCTAACTTCTGCCAATTCATGAAATAGCTCGACCACTTCGCAGTGTCTTCTTCGATGAGTTACTGCCTCATCTTCAACCTGCTGTACCCTACTGGTCACGGCTTCCCATTGGATCAGGTCCCAGTGGCTCAATGGTCTACGAGCTCGCTAGCCTTGTAACCAGAAGGTCCTGGGTTTGAACCCTGGAGGAGGGTGCGTACTGATGAAGAGTCCAAAACTAGGACGAAACAGCTGTCCAGTACTCCCAGGTTTTCCAGTGGTTCTCTAACTGATGTCAGCTCATGATGAAATCCCCCATCCTATAATATTTTTGTTTAAAGTTTGGAAATACATTTACAAGTATGTCTAAAAATACATTTATTTATCCAGATACACTCAGACTGGTCAGTTCAGCTGATAAACAGTTAAGTTATGCGATATACATCTCATATCGGTCAGTGCTTATTTACCTTAAATTGAGGGTATTCAGATTTCATCATTATCGAGTAGGCAAGGTGTAGGAATACACGTCAGCCGAGAATATAACTCAGACGTCCCACCTAGGAGGAAAGCATCCTACGACTGAACTACTCCGTCCCATGTGAGAAATCCATTCAGAGTAACCACGTTCTAACTAAAACCAATTATGTGAAGATTGATGATACTACCTTCAGATATGGTATGCTGAGATACCCAGGACCAACTGGTTGGAAGTTAAGCAATTATTTCTCGAATCCAGGGTTAGGGAAATATATAGTTTATCACTCTTGCAGGTGAAAAGCTTGAAGTCGTCTCGACAAGTTCATGCATCGAGGTAATTGTGTGAGTACTGCCGGAGGTGTGTTATGGAAGAAGTCTCTAATCGTATAATGAAAGTCATCGTCACATCAGCCTGATTGTCAAAGGTCGGATTTACAATGCTTCGATACGCACAATCTTACGCCATACCTATGAAACTTGGCCTCTCCGAACGGGAGGTATGCTGAATCTCAGTGAATTTGATCACCACCGCCTCCATAGAATAGCCTGGATCGGATGGCATCATCGTGTAAATAATTCCGAGGTCCGGTGGCATGTGTTTGGACACGATGGAGGATCAGCATTCATTGATTGGCTTGGACATGTGCTACGAATGTCATCTCAGAGGCTTCTGTTCACCAACCCTGGGACTGGATGGGAAAGGGGAAGAGATGGTCCAGGGTTCAATCCCCGGCCGACGCACTCCTTTACCTCGCTTAGCCAGTATTAAGACTGGTGAAGAAGGAAGGTTGGGGATGAGGCTAGCAAATCCATCCTGTAAAAATAAACACTGCTATCGAAACTTCAAGCCTCTAGCTTGAAGCCCTATGTTTCACTGGGAAGGTGAAGGAATAAAAAAATAATAATAAGTAATGAATCTTGAATGATCGTGACAAGTGAGCGTATTTGCTTTCTCTATGACGGTCCCTCATTCATTCTACTTTCTCCATTATATTGTTGTTACTTTATTACTTTTGCGTGGCGCATTTCTTAGTGTGTCAACTTTGTGTTTCAAATACATAAATAAATAAATAAATAAATTATAATCGTTTATCCACTGGCTGCTAATGGATTAAAACAAAAAGTGAAACTTGAAAGAATTTACTAACCTCCCTATCACTCTTTGATTCCCTTTTACGTCGTTGACCACTACTTGAAGTTGATTCTTTGCTACGATCTGTCAAATGAAAAAAGAACACACAGCACAATACAGATGATTGTGATATGAAAGAAGCGACATTTCTTTCACAATGAAAAACATACCAAAAAGGTAAATGTTCTCATAAACTCCAACAATTACACAAAGATATTTGGAGTTACACTTACTTACTTGCATGAAAAGGTTGACTGTTTTTGATCATAGATGTCTACGATCTTTCTCACGTTAAGTGGTATAATAAGGTAAGTAATGTTGACGTTAGGCGTAGTGTCCGGCAAAGAGGGAAAATCAATCAACAAGGCTATAAAGTTACATAGATTGAGATGTCTAGGTCACGTGCTGCACATGCCTAACCATCGCCTCCCCCGACGGGTATTACTAGCTGATATAGGTGCAGGTTGGAAAAGAGTAAGTGGTGGCCAAACAAAAGCATGGCCTCATCAATCCATGAAATCCTTGACAGTTAAACTGAGCCAGGTAGGGAGATGCAGACTTCCGGGTTGGGGCCCGCCCTCGGGACTCTAAGAATCAATTTTTTTATTTTCAGCTTGATGCCACACCGTATTTTCAGTACAAGTATGGAATTTTCAGCATGGATATCGGTAGCCCAAATTTTTCAGGCCGACCATAGATACAGGGTGTGCGTCGGCAGGAGATCGAACCCCGGACCATGTGCATGGTCGGTGAGAGGCCTAACCACTGTGCCACCGACGCGATGGCTGGAGACAATCGGTGACATGGCTCAAAATCGTTGTCAATGGCTTACGCAGATGTATTCAGTCTCTGTAATCTTTCATATTCCTTTCTACCATTACTCATTCTGTTTCACTCTTACACTTGTCAAAACTCTATTGATTCTCTTCACTCTCATTTTCTTGTCTACCTTTGTTTGCTATTTGGAACGTGGCAACTCGAACTGCTGCACTTCGGTGCCAAGTTCTATGTTGATTCCAGACAGAGAGACAGGCTTACTTTGTCGATACGTATTGATAACAACCCAACAAATGTCAATAATACAACAAGATTTAATGAATTCATCAAATTTCGGTAAAACTCTTCAGTTGAATACTCTACATACACAATTAGAATTACATTTGAGAGGTATATGACTGTGATAAGTAAATAAACTACATTGAATCAATTATGCAAAACGACAGGTGTGAATGCTTTTCAGGTCATGTTCAGATACATAAGCGAAAGTGACTATGAGAGATAAAGAAAATGAAGATGATAATAATAACGCATTACGGGTCAGTTACATCATTTAAATAAACATTTAGAAAGGACTTGACTATATCAAGAATTGTAAACTGAATGACACTGACCATATTATTAAAGATAATAATCATATTAAGACGAGTTCATATAATGGTACAATAATAACTGTGATAATAACAAGCAATAAGTAAGACATATTACTATGGTAGATTCAGAACGACCACCATTTTCTTCTTCTGTACACACAGACCAAGTTTTAAAACTCAAGTTGTACAAGCCTCCACAATGGCAAGCATCTTTCTGATTGTTTTTCTGCTAACAACAGTAAATGACTTGACAGAGTTAGTATCCTATCCATGGTTTACAAGATGCTTTGTTATTGAACTTTTTGGTACTTTAACTTCAGCTTTATTTAAACCACTTGGGGAAATGTTCCACATCATGCGAGTAGACCGATATATTTGCTTCTACAAACACAATCAAAATGATATACGCAGTTTGAGATGTCGAGAAGAAGAATCCCCTTGGTGGTGATGTTAGGGAACACGAGTTTTGCAGCACGACGAGTTCTTCTGATAGCTTTACCAAGTCTTCATTTGCTTACTTTTCTTACGTCATCTCCTTTTTAAATGGCAAACTGATATACGTTCAGCTTCCTTTGAGACTGTTTGGATAGCTTTACTGGAGCATATTTCTTTAGAATATTGATCAACCTTTCAGTATACCTATTCTTAGATCAAATATCCTTCAGTCTTTATTTCATATTTAATTGTACTGTTAGCATACAAATTCTACGTGACCTATTGAATAATGTTCCGACTTAGTTGTTTTTATACTGGATGGAACGAAAGCCTTTAAGTTCATGAAGGATTTCTAAATATAGATCTTTCTATTGTGCCATCAATCCTCTTCACTAGAGAAATACCTAGGAATGTAATGGTATCATTTTCCTCGTGTTCTGTTGTGAAGTTAAGATTTGCATAGCACGGGTTAAATCTTACCTATATGTTTTCCGCCTTTGACTTACTTTCATAGACAATAGAAATATCATCACAAATGCATCATCTACATGCAGTGGATAAAAGGTACTTGCCGTGATCGTAGATTTCTAGGTAGTATTCTTTTTAGATGGGACATGAAGATATCAGACAATATTGGACCCAAAGGGCTCCCCGTTGCTGCTGCATCCACTTTTCACTATAACACGTTATTAAACTTAAATTGCACATCTATGGTACACAGGAACAGAAGACGCCTCGTATCAGCCCGCGGTTACGGGATATCTTCTCCGTATTGATAGATAATATTTATCATTTCTTGAAGGGGAATTCTTGTAAAAACAGATTGTATGGCATAGGATGTCATAAATTTGTTAGATATATTAATTACTCCTATTCTTTTCAAAAAACTGGATGAGTCTTTTAAGGTAAGGGTCAATAACTTTTTCCAGACATTTGCTAGCTTTTGTGCTAACCAACGAGTAAGTGTATGGTAAGGGGAATTGACATTAACAGGATAGTTCTCACAGGTATTTTTTTCCTTATGCATTTTTGGTGTTCCATACATAAAAAGTAAGTGGGATCTTTGGGGTCTGAGTTCATTACACATTTCTTTTTTAGCAGTTCTCTGAGCTCTTTTGTAATTCTTCTCTCGACAGTTTCTGTCATGTCTTTGTTGTATTCATCCCTTCTAAATCATGACGTGTCGCCTAGTACTTGACACATCTTAGGGGTGTAGTCTTCTATATTCATTATGACCACCCCTGAATCCTTGTCGGGTCGAAGAATTACAATATTTTTGTTGATCCTTAATTCTCCTATGGCTGATTGATGTTCCGGAGACAAAAATTTAGAATGAGGAAGTGCAGACACATATTACTGGTTAGCACTCTTCATCAAAGTGGATTTCAACCATCCCTTTCAATCTTCGTCAGTTGGTTAGAGATCGCCAGTTTAATGAAATAAAATACGTCTACAAAATTTCCAACATTTAACTATACATATATATATATATATATATATATACAGTACTCAACTGAAGAGTTTTACCGAAGTTTGATGAATTCATAAAATCCTACTTTATTAGCCTTTGTTGTTTTATATTTGGATCAACTGTTGTTGGACGAATTGTACTAAATTTGAGAATTTCATATGCATCGACTGGATTCACTTACCAGACATTTTCTGCATGACTTATAGATGGGGAAAAAAGTGATTATTATAGTACCACAACCTTTATAATTAAGGTCGCATATCAGCCATGAGTGAAGCCTTTCAGTAGCGCGAAGAAATGAAACGGATTCTTCATCAGTGATCAGTGCCTACCACACACCTGTTCCCATAGGAACAAAGCCTCAGGATGGTCGGGGGTGGGTGCCTTGCGCTGCGGGTTGGCCACCCCTCCGCACACCTCTTGAAATGCGCCTCTACTGAGGAAGTCCTACTCACTGCCTTCACGTGGCGGAGGTGTTTTTCACCAAAGTGAGAGGGCGAAAGCGGATGCCCGGCGCTCTTCACCGGGTTGACTGTCCATTGGATGACAGTCTAGGGAAGATGGCTAAACCCTGATTCCAAACCTCCAACGACTGGCGTATGAAGCTCACTGGAGCTCACCGGCAGACGTATGGACAAAGGGCTTGTTCGATGTCCTGGATGTCTGGCCCCATTCAAAAAGGCGTATGAACCGAACTCCGGTCACCGGCTGCCAATGGATAGTGGACTCCCTACTCCACTCCTACTGCCTTGTAGGTCACACTCGGTTGTGTAAAGGCTAGAGCTGCACTCTCAAACAAAAGGCCGAGCGATTCTGGGGACATCACTCGTACCAAATTCCCATGAAACTTCATGAACTCTCTTCATCAGATCGCCGCACCTGGACAGGGATGATTCGAGATGTTCATGAAGCCGGCTCATCCTCCCGTAGGAGATAGCCGAAGTAAAGTGAAGTAAGTATAGGAACAATTGAGGTGAAAATGTACAACCGGGAAGGCATTCCAAAGATAAGCAGTTAAAAATAGACGGGGCATAGAAATTTGCAGATATTTATAACTCCCGATTCACAAAAATAAATGAGCCATCTGACTACCCTACCGCTAACAACGACAGTACATGATAAATCTGTGAAACTCCCTAAAAAAAACCTGCGGGGAATAAAATCTCTACAAATTTACTACCAAAAATGTAAAACTAGAACAAATACTGCTAGACATCACTTGGAAAATCCTGTTGCTAGTATGTGCTGTGATTTAGGAAAAAGTGGAATGGAAACTATCAACAAAATTTACCATATTTTTACATAGAAGACAGGGGGTGTCACTAACCAGAGGCATACGTGTATGCTTCACATGCTACAGATGTGAAAAAGATAAAACAGTAGTGAAATAAAACCCATCACAGTTTAGGAATAGATCCTTTCACTGTTGAAACGTCAAAAGCCTACAACTCCAGACCAGGCACGAACAATACCAAAAGCAAATAGAATCATTATAAGGGTTAAAATCTTACCCTTAGAGGAAGAGTTATCTTCACTCGTATTAGTGTAGGTATCTGAAGTGGATATCGGTTGGCTTTGTGATTGATTATCGGTTATTTGATTAGAGTTATTATCATTTGTAGCAATATTTTTGCTATTCACAGGACAGTTAATTGGAGTAACAACAAACTCAGGATGTGATATGACAATTCCACTAGAAGTTGCTGGTGTTGAAGAAATATGTGGCTTTAAATTATCCAATGCTTGTTTTAGGATAACTGGAACAGATACCTCCGGAGTACGTACAGAAACATTATTCTGATGTTCGGGAGTATCAGGAACGCCATTGATAACATGCAAAGAGCTGACAGCACTACCGACAACAACTTTGTCAGTAATATTTGATGGGAGACTTTTACTTTCAACATTAGGAGTTGAGTTAGAGTTCGCAGAGCTGCTTTCAAGATTATTCCGTCGATTTAAGTCTATGAGGGTTAGAGCAACCTGAGGATTCATTACGCATGACAATTTCTTTGGCTCAGGAGAATACAACTGCTTCATTTCTTGACGCATGATCTGATTAACACGTCCTGTTGGTCGTGTTGGTGATAAAAGCTTCCTTGATCTAGGTTTGACTGAATGAGCGACTTTTGCTCTTGCAACACGCTTTTTATTTGTCTGTTTGCGACTATTCGGATCGATATTCTCTTTATCTTCATCATCATCCATAAAAAGATACGGGTCCTGAGATGGGAGAATTTTACTGTCCAGTTTCCCCTTAGTATGACATTTTTTTATCAACTCATTTTTGCTGGTTAATGGAATGGAGTCTTTGGAATTCGATGTATTGGTTTTCAAGATTCCACCAGTCTTCTCCTTACAAATATCGCTTTTGACACGAGGTCTTGACCTAACATGTACATCTTTCGTGCATTCAGTGGGCTTCAAAAAAAAAGAAATACATCGTCGAAACACAGTACAAACTAAGTACTAAAAATAACTATTAGCATAAAAAACAGCAATAACCACCTTAAGATTTATTTTATTCCTTTACGTCCCCAGTGGAATATAGGGCTTCAAGCTAGACCTTTGAAGTTTCGGTAACAGTGTTGATTTTGTTTACGGGATGGGATTACTAGTCTCGCGCCTAACCTTCCCTCTTTACAAGGCTCATTACCAGCTAAGCGAGGTTTGGGAGTGCGTCGGCCGGGAATCGAACCCCGAACCACCTCTGCGCCACCGACGCACCACCTTAAGAAATCAAGAAACACTATATTAGACTGCGAAAATGGCTGTTCGAATGAGAAAATGCCAAGGAGGGGAGTGATGTCAGCAAGATGTTTTTCACAAACAAACAAGGGGTCAGCAACCAGATACAAATGACACACATACCCCAACCAGGAGCCTTAAGTATTCCGATATAACTATACTACGGCAGATATGACAACAGCCTCGAGAGAAAAACAAACAACGGGAAAAGTGGTGAAGCTGTTCAGTATGTTTACTACTGAATGTGTACACTATGGTATAAACTGTTATGATTGGATCGCCTTCGTTTGCCGGGGTAGAAGTGGCTGATTCTTGGCAATACTTCAGTGCTCTGTTTTATCTAGTGAGGCCTTACATTTATGTGGGAACTTGAGACATCAAGTCATTCATCATGAACGCCATGCACTTAGTGCATTCATTGTTTGTTCCTCATCTGGTTTTCAAATTTTGTCTAGATCTTCGGTAATGTACTACGCAACGTCACTTAGAAGGTAATTAGCGGTAGTCGAAATGATTTAACTTGGCCATAGTTGTTTCTCACACTGTAAAACATTTGTACCGAAGGATTTATTCATAATTCATTAGCCCAACCCTCCGTCTTGTGACACCTTGGGTATTTATAGAGATTTATTCTTGTGTAATCCGGTTCAGTGGGTGCTTGTCTTGCAATTCTCCTATGGGAGACACCACCAGCTATTAAGTAACGTTACTACATGTTTCCGTGTTGATATTTTTCGTTGAACATCGGAAAATTTCTTATTTAATTTTATCCAATACGTATTATGATTCTACTCCTTATCATGACCACTTGAGGGTTGAAAGGTGTCAAAAAATGGCGATAGAAGAGAACTAATTATAAAAACGATTGCAAGACTTAACAAATACGAAAGTATATTTTAATTTACATTGCCTTTGGGGGTTAACTTTAGTCTCCTTAGAACCTATCTACCATAAACAGCCTTTTCATGTCTCCGGCAATCACACTTACTGTGGGTTGAACAGATCATACTGTATGTTTAGTGGTTGTAAATACAGAGAAGCCATACACCTATTAGCTGAATGTCACGTACTTGTGCCAGTGAGCCATGTTCCCACCTACGCCCAACATATGGGCAAATGACAGCGAAAAAATAATTGAAGAGAGATACAACCAATGAATATATAAATGCCTTTGTTATAAATTATGCACAAGAGAGTGGCATTTGACCAAAGTTGTCCTGCCTGCCTAAATACTGCTATTCACACACTTTGATCCAAGTAGGACATGAAGGAGAAACGGAAGGCTGTTACTTGTATTCCTGCAGCGGAATTTTGGAGAACTCCACCAAAGTACCGACAATTCCCTCACGTTTAAACCCAATAGCCTTAAAATTGTCTCAATATCCCTAAAGAATTGCATAAATGCCCCTTAATTACCCTGCAAAGGACCCAAAATCATTCCAAATGTTTAAAAAATGCTTTTTAGAGCATATATACATGGTTCAACTAGTATATATGAATATGTGTATATGCATTCATATATATTAACTGGAAACATTTGGGTATAATTTCAGGGGCACCTAAATATGAAAATTCCTGTAAAAATATCTGGGGAGAGCATCAAAATACTAGTACTTTCGCTAGAAACCCTAAATGCTAATAAATTCACCCAAAGTTGTGTGTGAGGACCGTACAATCCTCGACAATTGCCTCATCCAAAATTTAGCCATACCACATTGTACTTCACCTTTGCCCAACAATCCAGGCAATTCAGATGCATTAACGATTAACATACCTGACTCCTACTGCGGACAGATGACCTCAATCTCATGAGCGAGGATATTAGTTATCGCATTATACCGTTGAAGCAAAGAGGGCGGGTAATACATAAATTGACTGTTGTGGTCGTGCTAAACAAATGGGACTTTCCTATTTTGGTTCTCCAGGAAAAATAACAGCAAAGTCTATGTTCTTTTTTTCCTGTGTCGGAATTTCTGATTTATTGTAGTCTTGTCACTGCTGACTCCTAAGTTTATTTAGCTCTATACAGAGTGAACTTCGGGGTCCAATGATATCGTTGGTCTGCATTGATTTCACAGACAGAAATTTAGAAATCAAGCATACCATAGTGAACCATGAATGGAAAGCAGAACACGAATGACGGTCGAAACATCTTCTCAGTAATATCAATCGAAGTATAAGAGAGATACCTAATTTCACACGAAGAAAAGAGCTAGGTTGTACCTGAAAACCGGATACCCTGATTTTGGACTGCCTCCTTCTCTTCCAAGACCCGAACTATAACACTACCTCCTCACTTCGTAAATGCCATCTTCAGATGCCTTTTTCCTTCCGTCATATCATTCCTGTGAAAAGAAATAGGCATTTGGTTATTATGAATATTAATAGAAGTAAGATGAACACTCAGTGCCTGTTGGTTTTGTCCGAACCATTTCAACCTGTTGGAATATACCACCACACCCTCCCTACATATATAGGAATAAATATATTCTTATTATTCCTATATTCTTGTATTTCGGACATATTTTCCATTACTTTGCGATTACTGTATATCAGCATGTCCACTTTCCCCTACCTCCGTTATCAGTCCCTGATTGTCGTAGCCATACTATAATCGTCTCTGATGGTGCTCATCTTCTTATCGCAGTACTGTTTCTATCTTTGTCTTCCTCTTTTGGAGTGTGCTACTGGCAAAACTTATCAGCATTATACATATACAGATTGACAGGAAGTAGCCGAAATTGAAAACGACAATTTAAGTCAGTATCTACGGAAGTGGAAGCGTTTATTTCTCAAATCTGGATCTGTCTTGCGTTGTGGTCGAAAAGTAATACCACATTTTAACCTTCTGAAAATCAAAGACCAATCAGAGCAGCTCTAAACGTCATATTATCGACAACTTATGAAAATAGTTTATTATCCACTGACATAACCGACCATTAAAGTGGTACTGGCCACAAATGTGAATCGCTCCAGTCTGTAGGACAGCAACATGCATTTTATGACAGCTCGAGGATTAAGCATGGGTCTAAACCCTTAAAAAAATTCAGTAAGGGTTGTACAGATCCAAATTTAAAGAATTCTTTTGCTCCTGCCATCTACAAGCCTGCTCAACCTCTTGTTAAGATAATACCCCACGGGCCCTGCAGAAATTCGTGAGACATCTTACAGGTCAGCTTCATACAGGTTCTAAACTTCCGGATCTTTGAATTCACTTCTCCCTGAAATATCACTTACCTACTTCAGGATGATCTTTTTATTTACGCACTATTATACTCTACTTTATCTTAACAACCTAGGCCTTTAAATAAATAAATAAATAATAGTATATTCTCATTTTGTATTAAAGTCAAAACTTGCTCTTTGTTCATATTTGTTGCTTGCTTAAAGTCTGGTGGCTTTGATGAAAAAGGCCACAACACCGGTGTCTGAGCAAAGCTGTATTTTCATCAAAGACGTCATAGTTTCCACGCTAAGACCGATATGGTTAGCATTATACACTGCAAATGTACACCATCATTCCAGGGAGTCTCCACCCCCTTCTTGTATATATCTTGTAAATGTAATTTCAATGACGTATTTTCCGTTATTGTATTTTATGCCGTTTTGCAGTTTCTCAGGACGTTCTTCCCTTCCCAAAGCAGCTTTCAATCAAGTGGCGGCATAACATTAACCCAAATATACACTGTTCACTGGTTGACCATATCTGGATGAGTATGAATGCCATCGCGTCATAGATCTACCTCGCTTCTATTGCTCTCCTCTTTCATTGGATAGAATAGTGAAGACTAGTTGGATATTTGATTTGCTGTAGGTATGTTCTATCGTCCCGACCGATAGCTGCTACCTTGACGTGGTGGTTGGGCTTGCATATCGCAATGACCCAACGAGCTACACTGGCTGGAACTTATGTTCCTGTAGGTCCTACCATGCCAGAAAGGTTGTTTGGATAGCGGTTAGACAAAAAGCAGACAAAAGACTACCCAATCTAATACTATGATTCAAACAAACTCACAAAATATCATGCCGGACCGGTCGGGGCCCGGATTAACAACGACCGCGCTTCCTGCTGCTGTGTTACAGGGCAGAAGTGATAAATATGCTACTGAGGCACAGCAAACAAGAAAAAACAAGCAAAAACAGGCCGCGTGTGACCGGCCTCAAGCAGCTGTCCCCTGGACTCTGTGGTCACGCAACACTAACCTCTCTCTCCCCTTCTCAGGCGTGAGGCTAGCAACCCCACCCTGTAAACAAAGCTGCTACAGAAACTTCAGCATGATGAATCTTCTTGAGCCAAAAGAAAAAGTCTGTGTGGGGACATGGAATGTCCGCACCATGTACGAAATCGGCAAAGCTGCCCAGATCGCAAACGAAATGAAAAGATACGGAATTCAAGTACTGGGGATATGTGAAAGCAGATAGAATGGGACTGGACTCACCAAATTGTCAACGGGTGAGTCAGTGATCTACTCCGTTCACCCAAAGGATAACCACATGCACACCGAGGGCGTAGCTATCATGATGTCACCAACGGCAACGAAGGCTCTGATGCAATGGGAGGCTATCTCGCCCAGGGTAATGACCGCCAGATTCAACTCCAAAGGAAGGAAAGTGCCAGTTATACAATGCCATGCACCGACATACAACGCAGACCTCGAAAAGAAAGAAGAATTCTACAGACAACTACAGGCAACAATGGAAAATACTCCAGTCGGTGACATTAAAATACTAATGGGAGACATGAACGCCAAACTGGGATCAGACAACACAGGAAGGGAACTCATCATGGGAAGAGAAGCTCTCGGAGAAATGAATGAAAACGGAGAACTCTTCGCCGACTTCTGCGCCTTCAATGAACTAGTGATTGGTGGTAGCGTATACAAACACAAGCATATTCACAAGGCTACACGGGTGTCACCAGATGGATGAACCAAAGACCAAATTGACTTCATCTCAATCTCAAGGAAGTGGAGGCGCAGCCTGCTGGACACAAAAGTAAGAAGAGGAGCAGACGTTGGCTCAGACCACTACCTCGTACAAGAGACAATCCAACTCAAATTAAAAGCTTTCAGAGAATCAGGAGCTGCAGACAGACCACAAGTCAAGTTCAACACTCAAAAACTGAAGGACCGGGACACAAAGGACATCTTCAATGCAAGCATAAAAGACAAAGCCGAGACACAAATCAACACTGGCGAAGAGGTCAGCGTCAAAAAGCACTGGAACAACTTGAAAACAGTGTGGAGTCAAACCTGCATGGAAGTTCTTGGCAGAAAGAAGAGACAGGACAAACAGTGGCTCACTTTGTACAAATGGAGACTAATGGAAGAGAGAAGGATGTTGAAACAAAAGATTATCCAGTGCATCAACGAGCAACAAAAACAGGAGTTGAATGCAAGCGACAATACACTGAACAGAAGAGTAAAGAAGAGTGTCAAAGAGGATAAAAGAAAATATTATGAAGCTATGGCAAGTAAAGCAGAACAAGCTGCAGGTAAAGGAGACCTCGCAACACTCTACCAAACAACTAGGTCCCTATCGGGGAAAAGTTCAACACAAATTAAGCCAGTGAAGGATGACAGTGGAAAGCCAATCACCAAAGAAGTGGAGCAAAGGAAACACTGGGCTGAACACTTCAAAAGACTCCTAAATCGACCACCACCTACAACGCGCCCAACAATACCAACGACGGAGACAGAGCTACCAGTGAACACCAACCCCCCGACGAAATCAGAAGTCCTGAAGGCAATCAAGATGCTAAAAGCTGGAAAAGCAGCAGGACCAGATGGAATCCCAGCAGAAGCATTGAAAATGGACCCAGAGACAACAGCGGACTTGATGACGCCACTACTGGAGGATTGGAAGAAAGGATACTTATTCAAACTACCAAAGAAAGGAGACCTAAGTCAATGCAAAAACTGGCGCGGAATTATGCTCCTGTCCATCCCAAGTAAAATACTAAGCCGCATCATCCTGGAGAGAATCAAACATGCCCAGGGTGAAAAACTTCGACCGGAACAGGCTGAATTCAGGAGAAACAAGTCATGCATTGATCAGATCGCCACATTACGGATCATCATTGAACAAAGTTTGGAATGGCAGTCACCTCTCTATCTCAACTTCATCGACTTTGAAAGGGCCTTCGACAGCGTCGATCGAGAGGTGCTTTGGCAACTACTTCGCCACTATGGAGTGCCACCGACAATTATACATCTCATCCAACAGCTGTACAGCAATGCTGCATGCCAAGTAATCCACAACGGGAAACTTACGGAATCCTTCGAAGTGAGGACAGGAGTAAGACAAGCTGGCTGCCTACTATCGCCAATGATTTTCCTGACTGCGGTAGACTGGATAGTGCGACAAACAGTGGGCAACGAGGTAACAGGCATAAAATGGACCCACACAAAATACTTGCAATATCTGGACTTCGCCGATGATATATGTCTGATTTCCAACAAACTGGAAGATATGCAAGTGAAAAGCAACAAGCTGGCAATAGAAGAAGCATCAAAGATAGACCTTCAGGTGAAAACAGGGAAAACAGAGGTGGTGAAGATTCCTGGGCAACACCACCAACAGCAACAACAACAACAGACAATAATTAACCAGCATAAATGGAAGGAACCTGAAAGAAACAACCTGGGAAGCATCGTTTCAACTACAGCTGGACGGAATTGATGAGGATATCAAATAAGCGTGGATCGGGAAGGCGAGACAGACTTCCATTACTCTCGAGCCTGTTTGGAGGTCAGCAGCACTCAGCATGAAACATAAGGTCCGGATTTTCAACTCTAATGTGAAGTCAGTGCTACTTACTATACGGATCAGAGACTTGCACTGCGCGTCATAAAGAGCA